GACTCCATAGGAGGTACAATCCATGTCTTAAATATGAATTCTCCTGAGCAAAGGATATACGACGTGTTTCCTTCGATGAAATCAGCCTAGTAGAACGTAGCAAGTTGCTGATTTACAAACAACAAGGGTGACACGGTGTACTGGTGCAGTCATATCAGAATGGGCCAGAGGTGCTTTCATAATGTCTGAGAGCGCCTTACAGAGTTGCAATCCCTGACCAGCCTCATAGCTGCTTATTCAATGTCATAATCAGCAAAAGGTGCAGCTCAGAAGTCCCGAGGTCTGTAAACCCAAGTATTTTGCCTCCCTCTTGTACTCCCATTAAGTACTGCCAAATGTAAGCTGAAACATGAGAAAGATGAGATGAATAAATCTCCTTCTTAATTCATTTCAGTCATACTGTGTAAAAGGTTCAATGCCTCGTATAAATGATAAGTCTATGCTGCTCTTACTGATTGCATCACAAGAAAAGCAAATAAAAATAATTAGCTGCAAAAAATAAATTCTGAAAGGAATAAAAATAGACAAAAACTGAATCACTAAAATAACTGCCCTAAGCTGTCGTGTAAAGCACATTTAAAATAAGAGCTTGATTCCATCGTCCATATGTTAGCGGCTAATCTCACTAGTTCCAGGTGCCTCATTACAAGTCTCAACAGTTAATAATGCATGTTCCCGTGTGAAGGACTGAGCTATTCTGTGGCATCATAAGCCAAAGCAAGTAAGGGTTGAATACAACCTAGAAAAATTCGTACTTGTGCATTCTACACACAAATGCCGCCAGGACCGTAGAGAAAACCGACATATGCGAAAGAAGAATCTATAGAAATTAAAATTGGACATCGGCATTCTTTCCAATACAGGAGACAGTGACCGCTGCGATTTACAGCACCTTATAAGTTATGAAACAAACGAAGAAGGATCAAGTATTTTCCGTTGGCAACCGCTGATATGCTGTTCCTATCATCTGGCCGGTCAGGGGGCATGGAGCAGTCCAAAAAAATTAAAATTATTGAACGGCTATAAAATTTTGAAAAAAATTCACGAGGAAAATATATTATGTTCGTTACTGGTCGAGAGATTTTTTTTGACAGGTAAAGTGCTGTCCGATACATTATTTTCCAAGCTCGCCAAACATTTTTTGTTGAGGGGACAGTAGCTATGGAAACTTTTTCTAACCAACCCGGTAAAGTGTCACTAATAAACGTTGACTATGTAAATCGCGTTGTCACCGGAGACTTCGACTCGACTTGATGCTCATGACACTAAATAAGCAAAAAGTGGACGACAGGTCTTTACACAAGGCAGTTACCATGACACCTGTTTAAAGTTTCAAAATGACCAGACAGCAATACTCACATACAGGGTTTGATATGTTTAGAAGTAACTTACTAAACTAATATCAACGCCTGGTGTAAATAGCCAAGTAACAGGTACATCATCTAGTTTCATGGACAGTAATAAAGATATGTTTATATAACAAAATTTAGATGATCCGACCTGACGGGCATTGGTACCTATCACGGACTAATGATCTTTGCCATGTACTGCGTAACACAGAACCAGAGACACACCCATTCTTCCATATTCTTCATATTTAATTTTATTCAAATTTCTAATTTTGCGATAGATTACTTTTCGAAATTTTTAAAGTAAAGACATCACAAAACGAAATAAAACGGAACTGATAAGCACTTGATGAAAAAACCAAGGTTATAAACATATGTATCCGTCGATGAAAGCCAAACTGGTTCTTTACTATTTAGACAGTTCGTATATCATGTGTTATTAAATTTATAACTGATCATAATAATCATGTTTATGTGTGAATTGGGTTTCTTATATCGTATACGAAATATTTTTCAGTGTACATCGTGAATGTTGGCCCGCTGAATCAAAGGGGACAGTACGAATACGTGGTGATTACAATCAACTGCAACTACCCGCTGTACGTGCTGGCTCGAGATCCGGTACAGTACAAATCTCGGTACGAATCAGAGGTGAACGATTTACTCGTCCACAACAAGTTGGTTACCAACTGGACCAAGATGCTGAATCTGATAGCCTCAGTGGACCATAACCTTTGTACGTTCCCGCCTACGCTGTTTAATTCATGAATTCGCCAAATACGCCTTCACAGATGAACGATGAGTGAAACTGTACATTGTAAGTTGATGGTATTCCTATCTGTCGGCTGTAGCTAAAGGAGATAAAAGGAAAATTTTTACAAGACATTTACGAGAATCACGCACCATGACAAATCAGAAATAATGATGGAGTGGTTGGTCGAAATTATCAATCAAGGCGTTCATGCAAAAATGAATAGAAGTTTCGTAGTCCTGAATAATAGCATTGCAATGAATAGAGGGAGTAAAACTTTTCCAAAGAGAAATGAGGTTATTCTTCACGGATTTTATGACTTCCACGCCTTACTATCTCCATGAGAAAAAACGTTTAATCATTCGTCTCAAACGCCGGCTTCAAGTCTTGATCTGTCAATAAGATGTTCATGAGTAAATGTACCAAAAATATTGCTCTATAACTCCGAGCAAGTAAACAACATGGCAAATGACCCAATTTCGTGAAATGTGTGACTTTGGAAAAGAAATTCGTTGTTTTGCATAACTTGTATCGTCGATGGAAAAAATTGTCCGTTTCACAAAACTTGGATGAAGGCGTGCCAGGCGGCTTCGGTGACAGGTTGCGACGAAGAGACAGTTGCATGCGGCCTAGAGAAACTTTTGTACGTTCAACACCACAATGTCGAAAACCGTAAGGTGGAAAACAAGCAGGTGCCACTCTACTGTAAATTTCAAAATGAACTTTCTCCGAAAGCACGTCAGCTTGGCACCAGTCGAAATAATAAGAACAGGCGAAAGTAAAACAGTTATTTCTCTTCTGGAACCAGTAAAGAGGGACAGTTTAGCAAAAGAGGTAAAGACGTAACGAAGGCTAGGACAATCATGCCGCAAATCATAATCAAATTACTGAAAGTATAAAAAAAACGTAATAATTTCGATATTAAATTCAAAAAGTAAACAATTTCAGGGGCCAGTAGCGCACCGAGTCAGTAGGGTGCATTGCGCATTAGAGATGCCGGGTTCAAGCCTCCTGAACGGTGTAGATTTTCTTCCATTAACTGCTAATTCCGCTGAACAAACAATTCACCCCAGTGTGCATCGGTGCAACAAGCTGAAAAACAAATGGCACGTTGTAACCTGCGAACAATAGGCACAACCAACTGTTTTGCTGTCATCATTCCAAAGCATGCGAGACATTTGATGACGTTGTCTGAAAAATGAGCCTTGCTGATGCGATTTGCCCTTACCCACTTAATAAGTAACTAAAAATCAGCAGAAAGCAAAAATAAAAATTAAAAAAAGAATATCAACACAGTGAGGTTCGACCAAAAGCGGGGATATGACGAAGGATATGAATGTCGTTCTGAGCAGCGTAATCAAATTAAGTTTTATACAGATCGTTGGTGCAAAATTTGGTACACTGGAAATAGCGAAAGTTTCTGATTTAATTTCAAGTCGAATTTCTAATGCATCAACAAACCCACCGAAGC